AATGCGAAAGTAACTCTGTCTGTCTGTCTGTCTGTCTGTCTGTCTGTCTGTGTGTCTGTCTCGCTTTCACGCCAACTACTGCACCGATTTAAATAAAATTTGATATACAGATAGTCTAGACCCTGAGAAAGGACATATGCTACTTTTTAATAAGAAAAAAGGGTTGTAAGGGGTAGAAATGGGAGATGAAACATTCTACGGAAGTATCGTCATTTTTAAAGCTAGAAGCTTGAAACTTTTTTTAAGCTTTTGACTATCAATATGACATTCAAAGTTTGTACGAATTTAACCCTTAAGGGAGTAAAATAAAATAGGAGATGAAATGGAAATTTCTCATTAGTCCTCTATTCCTTGCGAACGAAGTCGCGGGCACGGCTAGTCATACATAAAAATAAATCTACGCCTGTTGTTATATATATACTAGCTATCCTGGAAAACGTTGTTTTGCCTTAAAATAAAAAAATAAATTTAGGGGTGGACTACCCCTAACATTTATGGGGATGAAAAATAGATGTTGGCCGATTCTCAGACCTACTCAATACGCTCACAAAATTTCATGAGAATCGGTCAAGCCGTTTCGGAGGAGTATGGGAACGAAAACTGTGATACGAGAATTTTATATATAAGATATATATACTATGTAAACATATGGAGATCATAACATATAGTTAGTTACATAATCTGTGGCAGTGTTACACAACACTTGTAACTTAACTGCTGTATAGATACTGAGGTTTTGGTTAACCATATATCTTAAATTACAAGATTGTATGTTGCAACCGGATACTCAACGAAGGTGTTACCCTCACACCTACATATACTGTATACTTTATACTTTATTTATTTTCGTTAAATAGAAATAGAAATAATCTTTATTCAAATAAACTCATTACAAGCACTTTTGAATAGTCATATTTTGATTCTACCACTCATTCGAAATGCAGATTCATCACAAGAAGAGTGAGCAAGAAACTTGTGTGTTGCTCTTTTTAATAGATTTTTTTTTATATAAATAATTACAGTATAACAAGTAAGAGGCATGCGATAATCATTATTAGTGTAATCAGATAATATTGTCAGTGCTATGGATTTAAAGATTTTCTATAAAAACATTATTATCGTTAACGAATTCTTCAATTTTATAGTAAGCTTTTTTGCAAAGGAACTGTTTTATTTGACATTTAAATCTTTTTTGTGGCAGATTTATAACAGACTCTGGTATTTTATTGTAAAACCTTACGCAATTGCCATAAAACTAATTAAACTTATTAAAGTTAAAGAACATTTGCGGGGTCAGCTAGACCCTGTTGTTTTATATAAATTAAAATCGCTATTAAAAAAAATAGGGGTTGATGCTAGAAAAGTTGAAATTACCTCAATTTCTATAGTATTGTATGTGTATAGTATTGTATGTATATTTTAATGGTACAGTTTAATACACAGTATACTTTATTTATTTACCAGCTGACCTCGCAAATGTTGTTTTATATAAATTAAAATCGCTATTAAAAAAAATAGGGGTTGATGCTAGAAAAGGAAATTTAGGGTTGTATATATTTTTATTGCTACATTATAATAAATAAAAATTCTGTCCAAATAATAAAAAATATTAGGGGTGGACAACCCTTATCACTTAGTGATGTGAAACATATATAAATGATTGTAGGCTTGATGCTAGAAGGGTGAAAATTTACGGTTATATGTATTTTTTAATGCTACATTATAAAAAAATAAAATTTATCTAAAAGATAAAAAATAATGTTAGGGGTGGACAAATCTTATCACTTAGTGGTATGAAATATAGATAGTAGACAATTCTCAGACCTACTGAATATGCATAAAAAAATCATAAAAATCTGTTTCGGAGGAGTATTGTAACTAACATTGTGAAACGAGAATTTCATATATAAGATTCAAAAGAACAACACACAAGAGTCATGCTCATTCTTCTTGTGATGAGTCTGCGTTCCGACTCCGATGAGTTGTAGAATAAAAAAATATGACTATTCAAAAGTGCTTATATTAAGTTTATTTGAATAAAGATTATTTCTATTTCTATCTGTCTGTCTGTCTGTCTTGCTTTCACGACAAAACCACTGAACCTGAATTTAAATGAAATGTGGTACACATATAGTCTAGAACACAGATAGTTTAATCCGAAAAAAGGGTTGAAGTGGATGATAAATGGTCCTATATAAGTATCGATAATTTACGCGGACAAAGTCACGGGCACATCTAGTATCTCTATATATTAAGTCTGTTTGAATAAAGATTATTTCTATTCAATTCTGAAAGAGAGTCCTAATCTTAAAAGCAAACTCAATGTAATGGTGAATCTTGAATATTCTCTTTGGTTTATTCTCGTATTAGGTTACAATTCTTTAGATAAACTTACTGGATAAATACTCACCCTTACCTAAGAGGGTATTATATGCGCAGACTTCCCCTAGTAGAATATGTCTCAGGAAAATATACACAGCGCCATCTAATCCCAAGCTAAGCAGAGTTTAAGTAAGGTATTAGACAACTGTTATACATATATAGATATATAGCACTAGCTCTTGTTCGCGTTAATTTATCTCCTTAGGGGTAGAATTTATCAAAATCCTTTCTTAGAGAATGCCTATGTGATAGTAGCTTTATGCATGCAAAGTCTCAGCTCGATCGGTTTAAAATTGACAAAATTTCATACAAACTTTCATCCCCTGTTTTATTCTCTTGGGGGTTGAATTTATCAAAATCCTTTCTTAGAGGATGCCTACGTGATAGTAGCTTTATGCATGCAAAATCTCAGCCCGATCGGTTTAAAATTGACAAAATTTCATACAAATTTTCATCCCCTGTTTTATCCTCTTGGGGGTTGAATTTATCAAAATCCTTTCTTAGCGGATGCCTACGTCATAGTAGCTTTATGCATGCAAAGTCTCAGCCCGATCGGTTTAAAATTGCCAAAGTTTCATACAAACTTTCATCCCCTTAAGAGTAAAATTAATCAAAATCCTTTATTAGCCGATGCCTACGTTATACCATCTACCTGCATGCCTAATTTCAGCCCGATCCGTCCAGTGGTTTGGGCTGTGCGTTGATAGATCACTATGTCAGTCACCTTTGAGTTATATATATTTAGATTTTTTTGTATTTATTTTAATTCTACGACGTCAGCATACAGTACGGCACGGGCCACTGTCCATAGTCTGTACATAGTCCCTTGTCGGGGCTGCTCTGAAGATGAAGAAACGGCTGCTCAAGTAATCCTGGAATGCATAGCAGTGGCCACACAACGAAAACAGAACCTCGGAACGATGAGGTCGCTCAATTTAAATTCATTTTAGATAATAATGTTAAAACAATGAGTGTACATAAAAAAAAATTCAATAAACAGTTTTTAATGTTAATTAAGGTAACTGATTATCTATTTATGTACACGAAACTTTTTAGGAAGTCATTACATAGTATAAAACAAAGTCGCAGTCGCTGTCTGTCCGTCCCTATGTATGCTTAAATCTTTAAAAGTACGCAACGGATTTTGAAGCGGTTATTTTAAATAGATAGTGATTCTAGAGGAAGGTTTATATGTATAATACATGTACAGCCGTGCGAAGTCAGGGCGAGTAGCTAGTAAACTATAAGGAAATAACAGCCATAGAAAAAATAATATTGTAACTAGGAAACCACCTCGACTTCGCACGACTGTAATGACAATGTATTTATCAGAGATTGTGTGATTATATGCACATGTTATAATAATAATAATAATCTCAGGACAATTCACACAGCGCCATCTACACCCAAGTTAAGCTAGCTAAAGCTTGTGTTATGGGTACTAGATAACTGATACAATTTTTATTTGTACATTGAACATTAAAGATTCTTACTTAGTACGTATGATATTGATATGCATGTAGTAAAAAACGGTTATTTCAATATTACAAACAGACACTCAAATTTTATTTATATGTATAGATTTGTACCTATAGATAGAAACAAATCTAATAACGGTATGGTAAGTAAACATATATTATTTTAATGGTAATTTACCTTAACCATAAAATTGGTACGGTAAACTCGTCAGTTCACATGAAACGTCATATTCGCGTTGCGTCATAGTGATTCACACCTTATCTGACGTAGCGTATATCCCCTCTGCACATAACCAGATTTCTGCAGTGAGTATCGCGAAATCTTTACTTATAGAGGAAAAACCAATTTAGATTTTATAAGGACTGTACTTTCCTTATTGCAATTTAGTTTGCACACGAGACTACAGCATGGGGTTTTCAAGGGTATTTTAAGGTTTCCTAAGGGTCGGCAACGCGCACGTGACACCCGTGGTGTTTCTGGTGTCTAATAGAACTTGTTTCTCTAAACATCTCATACTAATTAAAAAACCATTTATTCATATAGATCATTTTAGCGGCTTATGAACGTCAAATTTTTAACATTATAATTTTAATTTTTTCCCTACCGACCAGTTCAGTATATAGATCCAATTGAGAAGAACAGGCAGGAAACTCAATTCTATTACTTTTTTTATTGAAAGCCAGTTTATTTGCAATGTATATATTATATATAGGTGTCTATGTCTAACATTAAATTCGCTCGTCATTAAAGTTATCGTTTAGTGAGTAATTATTAACATGTAATAATTGAAAACAATTAAGAAAAACCAAAATTTCTGACATAACGAATCAAAACATTAGCTGGTAAAACAAATTTTTGCTAAAATATCGCTTATTGTTTATGCGATAGGGTTGTAAATCGATTGTGGTTGGTATTGTGACATGGATAGCATGCTTGTGTGACAATATATATCTTATATCTATGTGATAGGGTTGTAAATCGGATGTGATTGATATTGTGACGTTGATAGTATGGTTGTGTGACGCATATATTGATTTCTGTGGCACACAGGCGCACTTCCATTCAATACCCCATCTGTTGCTCGACTTCCAAGTCAGTCAGCCCAGAGTTATGAACTTAGACACACGTTTTTGAATATATATATATATATATTTATGTTATTTTGAATTAAATATATTATTTACCTCATAAAATACAGAGTGGGAATATATCGCGAGAATCGTAAGTAAAAGTTATTTATTTTTTCAAACTTAATTACCTACGAGTTGCGATGTTATTTCTTTAATAAAATTTATTATTGATTAATGTTTTTTTTAGTAAATAATTGTTTGTTTTTAATGTAAATTAAATATATAGTGTTGGATATAAAATCGGAATTGACCTTGGAAAGTGAGTGTATAAAATCATTACATGAAACAATGTCGTGTACAACATATATATACTAGCTGTGCCCGCGGCTTCGTCCGCGTTTTTGTGACCTCGAACCAAACAAAGAAAAAATATTAATTAAGCTAACCATAAAAATAATTTTCCATACAAACTTCGATACCCTTTAGATTAAATTTTTTACCCCCTTAAGGGGGGTAACAATAAGGGTACCATTTTTACATACTTTGAATGTCATATTTATTTGTATTTAATCAACAGCTTCGAAATAAGTTTCAAGCTTCTTGACGACCTCGGTGGTCGCGGGTTCGATTCCTCGCACGGCACAAACAATTCACACAGTATTCATAAGTATGATTGTTTGTATCGGTCTGGGTGTTTTCTATGTATAATAAATATGTATTCACAAAAAAAATCTATGTATATGTACCAGTTGTCTAGTACCCATAACACAAGCTTTAGATAGCTTAACTTGGGTCTAGATGGCGCTGTGTGAATTGTCCTGAGATTATTATTATTATTATTATTGTAAGATTCTTCAATACAACTTTCATCCCCCCTTACAACCCTTTTTTCGTATTAAAACGTAGCCTATGTCCTTTCTCTAGACTATCCGTGTACCAAATTTAATTTAAATCGGTTCAGTAGATTTAACGTGAAAACGAGACAGACAGACAGGCAGAGTTACTTTCGCATTTATAATATTAGTAAGCATATATGTAATACTAGCTACTCGCCCCGGCTTCGTCCAGTGTACATGTATCATACATATAAACCTTCCTCTTAAATAGAGTGACTATTTATTAGAAGAAACCGCTTCAAAAGTTGCGTAGTTTTAAAGATTTAAGCACACATAGGGACGGACAGACAGCGACTTTGTTTTATACTATGTAATGATATATAATACACATATATACAGTGTCAGTATCGGAATCATTTCCTATATAGAAGTGGTATATCTTGACCTACGCCAAGTACAGTTGCCCGCAATAAAACATGAGAAAAATGGTGATCACTCGTTTGTAAACAAAGCGCAGTGTTGCAGCGTGACCGGTTATATATTCTAACTGGCTGTTCCCGGGAGTTCGTCCTCGTGGAGTTTAATTTTATTTTTCTAAAATAAAATAATAGTAGCCTAAGTTACTCCTTATTAGATCAGCTACCTGCCAAAACAGTTCCTTCAAAATCGGTCCAGCCATTTCAGTGATTACCCGGAACAAACAGACCGACAGACGGACAGACAAAAATTGTGAAAAATGTTATTTTAGTGTACCGTATTTACATTCATATGCATATAGTAAAAAACGGTTATTTCAATATTACAAACAGACACTGCAATTTTATATATATGTATAGATAATATTTTACTTGTATTGAAGTTAGAGATTGAGAATTGAGTAGTTTCCTTTTTAACATCCATATAAGATTGTTGGAAATTCCATCAAAAATATATATTAAAATCTCCTCAATAATTTATTTCATAAGATTCAATAGCCAACTATATTTTTTCTTTTTGAGTATTTAATTGAATTAGTGCTAATTGGTGGTTTGTATTCACACACTTAAACTTAAAAATGTAAAGTAATAATAAAATTATTTAAAAGAGCAACACGCAAGTTTCTTGCTCGTTCTTCTTGTGATGAGACAGCTTTCCGAACGAGCGGTAGATTAGAAAATGTGGTGACTATTCAAAAGTGCTTCAATGTAAGTTTATTTGAATAAATGATTTTCTATTCTATTCTATTCTATTCTATTCCAACGCTGTGTTCTCTACATTACGATTGGCGTTTGATTACCTGTTCGTCAATATTTTTGTTACACCGCTAATTATAAAAATCGGTAAAAAAACCCGCTAAAAATCGGTTTCGGAGGGGTATGGTAATTAACATTGTGACACGAGAATTTTATATATAAGATTCAAAAGAGCAACACACAAGTTTCTTGCTCATTCTTCTTATGATGAGTCTGCGTTCCGAATGAGTGGTTTTTTTTCGGACTACTCTAATGCTGTTGGCCGCAGCTGGCCTTTACAGCTTCACCGGACGATAGGGGGCGAGTGCAGATGGCACAAACCTGCGAAAGGACTTATGGAGCGGCTGAAGGCCAACTCCTGCCTGACGGATACGACTTTAGTCTGAGGGCACCACTAGGGGTTCGAACCTCGGGTCAGGCCGTCGTAATATCGGAGAGGGGAGATCGATCGGAGGGGCGAATGAGTGGTAAAATAAAAATATAACTATTCAAAAGTGCTTGTATTGAGTTTATTTGAATAAATATTATTTCTATGTCAGTTTGTAACTCTTCATCATCTGCTTTCTTATCCCATTTATTTGTGGTCGTCGTAATATGTTTTTCGCTTCCATTCATCCCTGTTCGCAGTCATCTCGTTATTTACTCCCTTTCTCACCATATCATCTTTCACACGGCCCGGACGGACGGATGACTACGTCATACTAGCTTTGTGCAAGCAAAGTTTCAGCCCGATCGGTTAAAAATTGACGAAGTTTCATACAAACTTTCATCCCCTATTTTATCCCTTTAAGTGTAGAATTAATCAAAATCCTTTCATAGCGGATGCCTAGATCATAACATCTACCTGCATGCCAAATTTCAGCCCGATGCGTCCAGTGGTTTGGGCTGTGCGTTGATAGATCACTATATGTCACCTTGGAGTTATAGGTAAAAAAAGGAAAAAAAAAGAATTTTTTGCTTTATTGTAATTCCTCGTTTAGGTTCAGTAAACATTCTGGCAATAATTAAACAAAAAATAACCTTTTGTTTCCTTATGATTTTACCTTATTTTCGTCACAGACAATTACGGCAATTTGTTAATGAACAGTAATTCAGATATCACACAAAATCGATTTTCCCTGTGTCCAATTAAATTTATATTTATATAAAACCACAGATAACATATACCCTTAATGATAGTATAAATTAGCTGTACCCGCGACTTCGTCCGCGTGGAATTTAACTTTATTTTTCTAAAATATTACAGTAGCCAAAAAAAGTTAATCTTATTAGATCAGCAGAACAAACAGACAGCCAAAAAATGTCCCGTCAAAATCGGTCCAGCCATTTTAGAGATCCCGGAAGAATCAGAAGACAGACAAAAATTGTAAAAAATTTTATTTATATTGTGTATATACCGTATTTATATTCATCATAAATAAAATTGATTTTGTACCCATGTTCTGTTTGTAATGCTTTTTATTTAAAAAAAAACAATTTTTTTTATTACATACATATGAATACGGTACATACACCAAAATAACATTTTTTACAATTTTTGTCTGTCTGTTTATTCCGGCTAATCTATGAAAAGGCTGGACCGATTTCGACGGGACTTTTTTTGGCAGGTATCTGACATATTAAGGAGTAACTTAGTCTACTTTTATTTTAGAAAAATAAAGTTCCACGCGGACGCTGCCGCGGGAACAGCTAGTTATACATGTAAATTATAACCGCGTCAAACTTAAAACAATACATATTATAGTGACAAATGTTTCCTTTTGTTTTGCAATGATTTTTATAACAGAAATAAATTCTTCAATTACGACTATAGTTGTCATAAAGAATAGAATAGAATAGAATAACATTTATTACATCACAACACAATAAAAACGATGCTGACAGCAGCATATAAATTATTATATAATCATTACTAATATTACAAATGCAAAAGTAACTCTGTCTGTCTGTCTGTCTGTCTGTCTTTTACGCCAAAACTACTGAACCGATTCAAATGAAATTTAACAAAATTATTATATACATTATTAATTAAACAGATAGTCTAGATCCTGAGAAAGGACATAGGCTACTTTTTGAGACGAAAAAAAGGGTTGTAAGGGTTGTAAGGGGTTGAAAGGGGAGATGCAAAGTTGTATGGAAGTATCTTCATTTAATAAAGCTAGAAGCTTGAAATTTATTTTTTAGATTCCTGACTAAATGTAAATAATTATTATATTCAGAAATTTATGTAAATAAAAAATTTTAAATTTAGTAAAATAAAATAGGGGATGAAATGGAAATTGCTCATTCGTCGTCTATTCCATGCGGACGAAGTTGTGGGCTGAGCTAGTATATAAAATATAATATTATATAAAATATATATAAACACATTAGTGACAGTGATAGTCTAGTGGTTCAGCACACCGCTGCACTTCCGATGTTCACAGGTTCGATTCCTTACATTCATGAGTATGATTGTTTGAATTGATCTGAGTTGTCTAGTACCCATAACACAAGCTCTGTTTACTTTGGAAACATTTCAAATAATTTTTATTTTTTAATTTCTATTAGACGTAAGAATTAATATCAAGCCATCAACTTAGTATGAAAAGCTCAAAAATAATATTAAAACAAATGTTTGTACCGTGCGAGGAATCGAATCCGTGACCATTGGTATTAAGTAAGGGGTATGCTAAAGCGCCAGGCCTTCTTACTTCATTATTTCATTACATAGTATAAAATAAAGTCGCTGTCGCTGTCTGTTCCTATGTATGCTTAAATCTTTAAAACAACGCAACGGATTTTTAAGCGGTTTATTTAATAGATAGATTGATTCTAGAGGAAGGTTTATATATATAATACATGTACACCCGTGCGAAGCCGGGGCGAGTAGCTAGTATATTATAAACGCAAAAGATTGTGAGTATGCATGGATGTTTTAACTCTTTCACGCAAAAACTATCGAACAGATTTTGATGAGACTTTACACTAATATAGTTTATACATCAGAATAACACATAGATTATAATTTAAAAAGATATTATGTAAGTTGGGTGAAATATAATTATTGATGTCAAGTAAGTGTGATACAAACGAAATTGTCA